AGGCTTTGTGCTCTTTACCATAATGTTCTTTTTTTCGGGGGTGTGGATTCTTATACCAAATTGCCAGAAAGATTGTGCTGTGGCGCATACTGTGTATATCTTTTGTATGTCAGTAAGTAAGGTATTCGTAAATTCGGCTCTGAGTTCCTCAGCTGACCCAACTCATCTTAATTTCTGACCTTTACCACCAGCTTATTATTTTATATTTATGGGTGGGCAGTGTTGATGATAGTATATGCCCACGAGGTTATTAGATGGTGTTGTGCATGCTGATTGGTGCGAACCCTTTGCAACATGTCGTTGTGATTTGTGTTTTACGATTTGTTTTATTTTTATACCCCTGCTTATTACACTGAATGAGACAGCTACTAGCCGGGATGATAGCAGAACCTGCTTTTCTCTCTGAGTATACTATCTTTGCTTTGGATTCCTCCAAGCAGCTTAAAACACAGAGTGACAGTGTGGTGAGTCCTTCCACCGCTTTCTGCATTCCCTTTGTGGGGAAGCAATTTTGGTAATACTAGAAACAAAGTTCGTGTTGCTTGCCATTTACAATCTCTTAAACCCTATCCAATGCCTCTTTTGCTAACCCTACACTAAAACTTCAGAGAGTAACTCCCTGCATTCTGATGGCTGGTGTGCTTCCTGGTAGTTTTTTTTAACAGCAAAAACTTCAACAGTTTTCCTTAATGTAGCAATGACTATCTTCACTTGTCTAAACTTGTATGGTTTCATTACAAGTGAATGTTTTGCTCATTAATTTAAAAAGGCATGTATTTACAGGCATATCTGTTTGGCTACTAGTGGGAGGCCTACAATGTTTTGAGGTTTAACTAACATTAAGGTGGAAATGCATTGTTATGTAACTGCATACTTGAACATTTTTAATAGGTAGGTGGATTCTACTGTAACAAATAATTGCATCTTTTGGAAGAATACTAAATTTAAAAAATTTAAATCTTGTTTTATATCATTTCACCTTTGGAAGATGATTTTTTTTTTTTAAGTATCTGGCAAGATCTTAATTAAGCACAATTTAGAGATATCTGACTGTCCAACAAAGACAGCTTTTGGTGTTCCAGTGAACACTGAACTGAGGCTGAGGTGTTTTTTTTTCAAATGAGATTTGATGTAACTTCCTAGATGCTGAAATTAGAACTTTTTTTTCCTTAATTCATGTAACAATACAACTTGGTATGTATGCGTATGGCAAGTATTGGTCCACAATTGTATTCTAAGGTTGGTTTTAGAAAAGAAAGTGTGCAGAGTAGAGTCAGATTTCTAGTGAAGTCTTACGCTTGGATTTTAGGTAAAGTGACCTCTCTGCCTCTGGCTACAAGTAACTCCTCAGTGTTTTCAAAACTAGCTTGGGAGGAAGTCAGGAGTTTCAGTTAGTAAAGTTTACCAGCTTACTTTAAAAGCATAGAATGACATTGCTTTTTATGTGGTGAGGAGCCCTGGTAGCATAATGATTACAAGCAGGTCAGCAGTTTGAGTTTACCAGCTGCTCTGAGGAGAAAGATGAGGCTTTCTACTCCCATTAAGGTTTACAGCCTTGGAAACTACACAGGGTGGCTGTGAGTCAAAACTGACTATGGCACATAACAACCACTGACAAACTCTATATGGTAGGAAAAGACCTTTTTGTTTTTTAAAAGAGCTCTTCTTAAGCCCTTTCAAAGTACAAAAGTAACTTGTATTGTCAAAAAATGATTATAAAAGTGGAGGCTTTAGAACTATTTAAAAGTACTCTATTTAGCCTATCTTCTAATTTTAACTAAATTTTGTTCAGATAAAAATTTATTTCTGTTTAGGGAATAAAGGGAAACCATAGCATTACTTATGTTGTTATTGTTAAGTGACACATAGAAACTCTATATAGGGTTTCCAAGGAGTTGCCGATAGGTTTGTACCACCAACTTTGCAGTTCAAACTGACCTTGTGATCCAGTGCTTATCCAACAGCACCACACCAGGCAATACCTATACCAAAATGAAAACATGGGGAGTATGTAAGTTTATTATGAGTTTACCAATGGCTGAATGTTTTCCCTTAATTCAGTTTTTTTTTTTTTTTTTTAAATGCATCCCTTTACCCCACAACCTGAGAATTTCTTTGTCTGTAGTGCTCAGCAGTCGTTAAATGACTGTGGAAATACTGGATAAATGTAACCGAAGACATATTCGGCAGGAAACTTGTATGTAATTTTAAGTTAAATGTACTTTACAAGGTTTTTCCTGTGAACTAACTGTTGCCTGTAAGAGAAAATACAGGTGACTGTGGATGCCTGGTGTAGTACTGTGTATCAGCACTGGTCCGTGAACCACAAGGTCACGAGTTCAAACCCATCCGCTGCTCTTGGAAACCCTATATGGGGTCTCAGTGAGTCAGAACTGACTCAGTGGCACTTAACAGCAACAATGGAGTTTAAGTCTTGAGGAGTCCTGGTATGGTAGTACAGCGTAAGCACTGGACTGTTAACTGCAAGGTCGGTGATTCAAACCTACCAGCTACTCCTTGGAAAACCTATATAGGGTCATTATGAACTGGAACTGAGTCTATAGCACTTAACAACAACAAGTTGTGTTTTGAACAGTGTTGAGATAGTTTCTTAGGCTTCTTTCTGAAAGAATACCTTAAGGTCTTCTTTACTGAAGGAAGTGACAGCTTAAGGATTTAACAAACGTTTATCGAGTCCCTAGTGCTGTGGGTTAATGTTCTGGAATGCACAGTTGCTTTGAATGGCAAGGTTGGTGGTTCAAACTCACCAGCTGCTCCTCGGAAATGCTGTTACAGGGTTACCATGGGTTGGAAACAACTTGACAGCACTTAGCAGCGAAGGTTAGTGTGCTGGACTGCAAGGTCAATTTGAACTGAAAGGTTGGTGGTTCAAGCTCACCAGCCACTCCTCGGAAACCCTATACAGGGTCGCTATGGGTCAGAACTGACTCTTCAGCACTTTACAACAATAACTACCAGTTAGGAGAAAGGTTAGGTCTTGGAGACCAAGGTGAAAATGCAGAGTTCTTGCGCTCTAAACGTTTATAATATAGTATGGAGATAAACATCCTAGTATAAAGTATTAAGGAATTCAGACTTCCTAGAAGAAAATACAGAGTACGGGAGTATGTCTATCCTTCAGGCAAACCATGTGAAGCTTCACGAATGAAGTGGCATTTGAACGTTAAAAGGTGTGCAAATTTGCCAGGAAAAAAGGTAACATTCCAGATACAGAATCTCTAATTTTTCCAATATTGATTTTTCAGTTGTTTGCTGATAGCTGCATTTATTTAGCCCTATGCAATAATACATACATTGAAATACATATATGGGGAGGGAAAATTTTTTAACATGCTATGTTTGATATAGCATATTTAAACGTATTTCAAACCGTTGTACTGTTACTTTTTTTTGTTTTTTTTATGGACCACTGTCATGTGTCAAATCATTTTACTTAAAACAGAGTATGGACTCTCTTGCCACCCTTCCCCTTAATCTTAAAATAAATAAATATAATATGGAGCGCTTTCATTTCCCTTCTTGAAAATTTAACTGCTGGTTACTTTTTACTGGCCAAGAGACTTGTTGATCTGTATAAAGTATCTATTTTTTATTTGGTAGTGTAGTGTATTTTTAGGGCTGGAAAGCATTAATTGTTACCCAGATGCATACCATTTATACAATTTCTAATTATTTAGAATGTCACAGGGAACAGGAAGTTAAAATTTAATCCCCAGTCTGCCTTCTATGTAACTTTAAAGAATGTCTTGGATTTTAAAAAATATGAGAACTGTTTATTTATTTATTTTAGTGGGAAAAAGCATATTTAATTTTTTTAGCTAGGGAAATAGAAAACATATTGCAAAAGTAGAAATAGTAGTAATAGTTGTGTAAAGAGTTCCCTAACCCAAATAACTATTACACAGTGTCAACTATCAATAACTCATGACCAATCTTGTTTTATCCATGAACACACTCATCCTACTTCTTGGACCATCTACTTTTGTGTATATCCCTAAAGGATAAAGACAAAAAATATTTATCTATAGTACTTTTATCACACCTGAAAATCAGTAATTTCTTAGTATCAAAACCCAATTGTAGTTTTTTAAAAAAATTTAAAAAGTTGAATACCTTCTCCACTTTATTTTAAAAATAGCTAAGATATCTGTTCTTTGGTCAGTTGTAGAGGTAGGGGGAAATGCATCACTCCTATTTTAACTACCAAGATACAGAAACACAGTGACTAGTGGAATGTTCTTATTTAAAACTTGAAAATTACTTTTGTACTTCTAACTTATTTTAGGTATTTTGTTTATTATGAATTCATTATAGAATTTTGAATCCCAAAAGAATCTTACCTATTACCATGGCACCTACGGCAGTATATTGTCATCAATAGAATGTTGCTAGGTTGGAGCAATTGTCATACCAACAAAACAGAACAAAAGTCATACACATTGGGAAGAGGATATTTTTAATTAAAATTTCATTTTAATTTTATAACAGTTTCATTTAGATTTCGGGCTTCAAATGATTAAGACATTTAAATTTCGTGTTACTGACATACGTCTCAGAGCTTAGCCCTGAATACCTTTGAGTATTATTATAGGGCACGATTGGTGTTGCTGTTGTTTTTTGCACAGTTCTGTGTTCGAAAGAGTTTACTAATTGAATCTCTGATTGTACTTTTATCATGGGGAAAATAACTAAAGACATTATAATGGGGAAAGGTATGTGATTAGCCTGAAATAAATCTTGCTACATACTAATCTTTGCTTTTTTTAGATATATCTCTCTCTATATATAATAGCACAATGAATTTTCTAAACTACTACCATACTAGTTTTGCCTTGCATGAAACCATTCTTATAAATGAACAATTACTAATTTTAATAGACAAATATATCAAATAGGTTTTGGTACTTTGCCTCTGTTATTAACAAAGTTTAAAAATGTTGGTTCTATGTTTCTTTTCAATGTCTCTTTCCTGTTCTTAGAATTCATCTATCCATGCCGTGAGATCTCTCGACAGTATTAATGGAAGTGAACCAGCTACTCCTCAGGTCTGTTAATGTTATTTAAAAAATAGCAAGTCATTTCACAACATTGGTCAATCTGTGTTAATTATTAATAATTGACTTTACATTGAAATAATGACATCCAACTATTTGATTTAATATATTTGATTTAATGTATATGCAATATGTATGATAAATATAGGTCTATTAATTGTTTCTTGGGGAAATTTAAAACTAGTAATGATTCATATATATATATATATATTTACACACACACCCCAGTCATGTAAGATTATATGATAACTTTAAAAAAAAAAAATAATAATACTTTCATGATTTTGGTGAAAGTTTACAAAGCAAGATAGATTCCCATTTGAAAATTTCCAAACAAATAGATCAGTGACAATAGTTACATTTTTTATTTTGTGTCAACATTCTTTTTACTTGTGTTCTGGTTGTTCTGTCTTTAGTATTGTAATTTCCTCTTTTCTCATCTTTGCTTTTGATTAAACGTTGACTTTTTGGGCTCATACAGATTTTTTTTCGCTTAGAACATGAATCTAGTGGTGACGGTGATTGGTAAGTGCCGACCAATTAGTTCCAACTTTTAGCAACCCTGTGTATGGTTTCCAAGGAGTGGCTGGTTGGTTTGAACAGCCGATCTTGCGTTTAGCAGTCCAGTCTTTGCCCTACAGCTCCACACTAGTATTTTGTGTGCCACTCTGCTTTTCTGCTAAAAGGTGATCTCAGGGATAGTTTTGGTTCAGGTTTTAAGTGGTATCTCCAGTTGATTAATTTCAGGGAGTCCTCTGGTCTCAAGTGGTCTAGGTAGTCTGGCATTTTTTTTTAGCTATGGAGTCTTGTTCTGCATTTATCTTCCATTTGAACCAGGGTTGTCTATTGTGCTCCCAATCTGATCGATCATTGGTGGTGGCCAGACATCACCTAGTTCTTACTGTTTTACGGTAGTGGAGTTATGGCTCGTGTAGGCTGTCAGCCTTGTAGACTGGTTTCTTCGATGAGATTTTGGTTATCTTCTTGCTCTTTTGCTTTTGATGAGATGACATCAATAGTTATATCTTAGATGGCCATTCATAGGTTTTTAGGACTCCAGATGATACTTACTACTTCACTAGGATGCAGAACATGAACTTTGTGAGCCCTGTGATGTCAGTTGACTAAGTTGTCTCCTGAGACTATATGATCCTAAGATTTAAAATTTGAAAACAGATCTTGGAAGGTGCTTGGATATATCAGAGGACTGACTATCTGTAGTTATGTCTTCAATGAATATATGTGCCCATCCATACATTTGTGTGTAGCATACGTATGTTGAGTCAGTTCCAAGTCATAGCAACCCCACGTAAACAGAAAGAAACACTGCCCAGTCCTAGCTAGCTTTGCAATCATTGTTTTATTTACGTCCGCTGTTGCAGCCTCTGTGTCAGCCCATCTCATTGAGGGTCTTCCTCTTTTGCGATGATCTTATACTTTACCAAGCATGCTGTTCGTTCCCAAAGACTGATAACATGTCCAAAACATATGAGGCAAAGTCTTGCCATCCTTTTTACTAAGGAGTATTCTTGGCTGTACTTCTTCCAAGATAGATTTGTTTGTGCTTTTGACTGTCTGTGACATAGCCGATATTCTTTTCTAACACTATATTTCCAATATATTAAATTTTCTCTGCTCTTCCTTATTCATTGTCCAGTTTTGGCATGCATATGAGGTGATTGAAAATGCCAAGGCTTGGGTGAGATACACTTTAGTATTCAGGGTGACATCTCTCCTTTTGGACATTTTAAAGATGTCATTTGGAGCAGATTTACCCAATGCAATCTGTTGTTTGATTTTTTGACTGATGCTTCCATGTTTGTTGATTGTGGAGCCAAGTAAAATGAATTCCTTGACAACAGCAGTATTTTATCTGTTTATCATGATGTTGCTTATTTGCCCAGTTGTGAGGATTTTTTCTTTTCTGTATGTTGGAGGTATAATCCAGACTGAAGGCTGTAGTTTTTAATTTTCATCAGTGCTGTCTTCTTTGCTGTCAGCAATCAGGGTTATGTTGTCTACCTATTGCAGGTTGCAAATGAGTCTTTCGCCAATCCTGATGCATTGTTCTTCAGGCTTCTTGGATTATTTGCTCAGTATGCATATCGAATGAGTGTGGTGAAAGGAGGCAACCCCTGCCACACACCTCTCCTGATTTTTAAACCACGCAGCAACTCCCTCTATTGAAACGATGGCCTCTAGGTTTCTGTACATGTTCTTTGTGACCAAACATAGGTGCTCTGGAATTTCCAATCTTTGTATTTTTTCCATTATTCTGAGCTACACATTTGGATACCTTTGCATAGTCAATAAAACACAAGTAGATCTTTCTTTATTCCCTGCTCTCCGCCAAGAGCAATCTAACATCTGTAGTGATATTCCTTGTGCCACAGTCTCTTCTGAATCTGCCCATTCTCACATATGTATATACCTCTGCTTACCTGTATACATATATACCCATTCATTTGTAATCCTAGACTTCTTTTTCGGTTGTTGCCTTCTTTCATAGCTTTGATTATTTGGTGCAGGCATCCATTCCTTGTGAATGCTGCTCAGTGCCTTCATTTACTTTGGCCATGCTGTGCTCACTACACCCACATTCTGTGCTGCTTTTGTCATCACATAAAATAACAAGCATCTATGAGCTAGAGCATACTTTCTCTCTCCTCCCTCTTCCTTCTAGCAACCACCAGTGATCACTGGTCTTTTTCTATGTGTCTATTTTTGTCTTCTTATAAAAGAGGGATCAGATTATATAATATTTGTCCTTATGTGCTTGATTTATTTCACTGAGCATTATGGTCCATCCATGTCATAATATGTTTCATGTATCTTCACTGTTCTTGATGGTTGAGTACATGCATTGTGTATACGTACCACATTTTGCTTACCCATTCATCCACTTATGGTCACTTGGGTTATTTCCTTTTTTTTTTTTTTTGAATGAACCTGCAAAGAACATAGGCATAGGTGTGCGTATGTCTGTTCATGTCTAGAACTCATTTTAAAAATGGACAGCAGTCCATTTAAGTGAAAGTATTTTTTTAATGCACTCTGACTTTATAGTTGTAAAAGACTGTGGAGGGAACTGTTTTGCAAAACACGTGGTTACATAATCTGCAAGGAAGAAAGAACCTGGATTTTTTTTAAAGTTTGCTTAATTACAGAGTGTTTTACTAACAGAGAATTTATCCTTGTTTTAAAAAGTTATTTGGAGAGTGGCACTAACATGAAATTCTTTTGACCTTTTTCAAAAAGAAAGAAAAATTTCAGTTTAAAGCAAATAAATAGATTAATTGATGAGTAAAATTTCTCAGATAACTCTAAAAGACAACCAAGAGTCAACCTCATAAAGCAGTGTCTGAGGTGATAAAGCAGTGTCTGAGGTGATAAAGCAGTGTCTGAGGTGATAAAGCAGTGTCTGAGGTGATAAGCAGTGTCTGAGGTGATAAGCAGTGTCTGAGGTGATAAAGCAGTGTCTGAGGTG